CTGAGGCCTTAAACAAACCCCTTAATGGGGGGGGGGGGGGGGAAATGATCCCTTCCAGGCCTAAAACCGGTTCAACTCCATCGCCAAGAGCCCTAGCCGCCCGATCGTCCGTCGCCTGAAGCTTCCCCGTATCCGGCACCTCCGTCTCTGGCTGCAGATTTTTCCAGAAATTCGCCTCGTTGACAGTCTGTGCCTCTGCGACGGAGGCCTTGTACCATCCAGCCTTGACGAAACTCGCCGCCGCCTCCTCTGAAATCTCATGGGTTGGAGGAGAGGTAGCACGTCTCCGCCTCTCGTTGTCCTTCTTCTTCGCTGGAGCATTCGCAGAAGAGTCGCCCACCTCACTGGCGGCTGGTCTTTTCCCTAAACTCTTCTCCTCTCCGGTCAGAGGCTTCGCCTTTCGAACCCAATTCTCAGCAGACCCTAGTATTGGGTTCACTCACCTCATGACTAGCAAGGATGTCTTCCTCCCCATAGAGATTCCGTCGGACTGGCCTCTTAGCTGGAATCGCAAAGTCGTCCTGCTCCTCTTTGTCCGCTTGTTGACGGACATTCCTACGAGTGTGAGTAGGACCCCAAGCTGTACTGGAGCGCTCGTGTCTGCGTTGCCTATCGTCCTCCCCACCGTAGCATCGGGAGTAACCACGGTTCTGACGTGTCCAAGGGTGTTCTGGGTAGTCCAACTTATCATGTGTCCAACGGTAACAAATCTTCCAGTAGCAATCAAGCTTTTCATATTTAAATTGAACCGTAATTATATCACCATTCCTGAATTCCAGGTCTCGGTTCAAAACCAGAGGCGCCCCACCCTCAAGTGTGACTTGAACTCGCGGCGGCTGGACTTCCCACGCCATGAGCTCTCCCAACTTCTCCCTAATCTCGATTACCCCCTTTTCATAACACCGGTACTCTGGCAGGCCTGAATCCGGATCCAAAAAGGAATGGAGGAGGGGGAATCAATTCTACTCATAGGGATCCATCGCTCAAGAGCAAACATCCAGCCATTAAAGTGATATGGTCGTCTTGCTAGCACTTGCATGATGTCGGAGTCTTGTGAAGAGGAGTTGGTTTGAGTTTTTCCTGTACCAGTCGATTGTACTA